GAGCAGAACTTGAGAGACTAGTGCAAGCTTGTAGCGTCATACCCAAGAAGACTCAAGGCTGTAATCACTGCCAAGGTACTTCAACAAAGGGTCTGAATACTTATGTAAATGTAATATTTCCGTTTATTTTTAATACATTTGTTAACATTTCTAAAAACCTATTTTTGCTTTGTCATTATGGGGTATTGTGTGTAGATTGATGAGGCGAAAAAAACGATTGAATCCATTTACGAATAAGGCTGTAACATAATAAAATGTGGAAAAAGTCAAGGGGTATTGATACTTTCTGAAGGCTCTGTACACTAATGATGAGCTGTATTTTCAGAAGGTAGAAAGAATGTAATATGAGGCAGCAAAAAAAAAAAAAGTGAACCGGTGATTCCTAATGTTTGAATCGGTTTTCTGACCGACGCATGCTATGCTACATTTGGATCGTTTTGGTGGGTCCACGAGGACCAATGCACTTGGATCTTAAAAACATTTGAATTGGGGACCAACGTGCGTCAGTGAATCGTAACATCCTCATGAGACGGGCATATAAATCCAACGTTACACTGTAATAAATATGTTATAACGATGTGTGAAACGCTTTATAAAGCTATTTTATAAAAACTCCCGCTGTACCTAAAACCATTAATAACCTTTAGGCGTACAAGTTAACCATAACCAGTCTCAGGGCTAACTGGAAATTCCTTCGGTCTCTACAGAGTTAGGTGAATCCATTTTTAGTTTCTTTGCACCTTACTTGGAATAATATCCAAAACTCTACAATTTGATGTTTTGGTGACTCTAGGGCAATTGATTGACTGATTGAGGACCTTTTTTTACTGAAGAATGTGCTTAGTTTCTATTATAATGTTTTGCATCTCTGTTTTTGCATTTCGTATTAGTATTGATGTGTTTATTTTCATCTGTAAAAGATACATTGGTCTCAGCATGACTCCCCTGTCAAAATAAAGGTACAACAATAACTCCACCCCCAGTGAAACCCGTCTCACTCACCGGAACCCTATCTGGGTACTTGCTGCGTATTTTGGCCGACTCTATACACCGATGTTCTGTTGAGAAGAAGAGATGGATTGAGAGATGTTATGAATGGCCGACTCTACACACCGATGTTCTGTTGAGAAACAGAGACGGATTGAGAGATGTTGTGAATGGTGTTACAGTGTCATCGGTACAGTAATTCAACCTGTTTCAAGTCCTACTAGCTACCGGGAGAATAGGCTTTTGCTCCAGCCCTACTCTAAACCACCTGATTCAGCTAATCAAGAACCTTAAGAGACACTTAGATTAGTAGAATAGGCCGGTTTGTTGCCCCCCTGCCCTACTCAGTTCCCCCTGCTCTAGTCAGTTCACCAAAGAGCAAGGGTGTATCCCAAATGGCCCCCTACACCTTGTGTAGTGCACCCTATACAGTGCACTAATTTTAACCAAAGCCCTGGTCAAAAGTAGTGCACTATACAGGCAATAGGGTGCCGTTTGGGATGCATCCTCCGGTGACTGCTACAGGAGGATCAACATTTGATGAGAGGTCACATGTTGTTCCCTGACCGAGATCCACCGGCAACAGCAGCAGCTGTTGGACACCAGATGCACTCTGGGTAATCGCTGACTAAAGCTGCCAATTCACTGGGATAAATATGTCAATATTTCTCCTAGGCTACTTCTCTGTGTGTCAATCTAACACATAAGCCATACAGGTGTGGTCTATATCCAAATTATGTAATAAAAGGGAAAATACAACTTAAGAACTCTAGAATAATATTTTTAGGAGACTTTTGTTAAAATACATAAATAGTTTATGCCATGTAATTTCAGCCAGATAATGGTTGTCATGTTTTTATCACAATAATAACCTATGTTCAGGGGATATGATATGCGGCAGAGCAAAGAATGAGTGAGGCAACGTTTTGACAGCTGTTTGTTGTTAAAACTAATAGGGCCTAGTCCTATTTGAAATGATCCATATCTTTTCAATATCACTTTCATATCAGCTATCACATCACTATCATATCAGCTGTCATGTCAATAGGAACGACATGTCCCAAATAGGGCGACCTGTCACGGATCGAGGTGATTTAAAAATTAAAACGCATAGGACATTTTGCCAATAAAACAAGAAAAGTAGCCAATCATAATCAGCAACTGCCATAAAAATAAGAAGAACGCAGAGGAGATACATATTTGTTCCTACTTTGACAATTGTGTTAATTGCCTGTTATGAAACAAGTAACCTCTTACCCAGGGAATGATCCTCTTTGAACATCCATTTCATGGTGGCTGATTCCGGGAGAGTTTGCTCGACGCGCAGTAAAATCGTAGAGGGCGGGTGAGGAATCAGACAGTGACTAAAATGATTGTTATTCTGTTTCCTAAAAACTGGAAACAATGTCAAAATGTTGAACAAGAACGTCAACAATGTAGCTAGCAAAACAAGTCTCACTCCGCCTGGCGCTGCTCAGGCGATGACGTCACTATGGGACCGTACCATGTTATCGCAGGGGAAGGAGGCTGACTCGAATGGGGTGCGGTTCAGATACACAAATGCTGGTCAGCGCTGCGCAGAATATCAGATCTGTACAACACCTGAGTGTTTAACGTCGAACCACATCCACACGATAAAGGCGTAGCTAACAGTCTGCTAACGTGGGCCGGCCTGTGCAGAGTCTGTATCTCTGGAACACACCTAGGATCTCAGCCTACTTTCGTTCCTTTTTTTACGTGGTACTTGCTGTTCTGGATCATTCCAATCCTGACTTTACCCCTTTGAATTTACATTTAAAAAGGTTATGGTTAAGGTCAGGGTAAGGGTTAAGTTTAGGGTTAGGATTTAGGGTAGGGACATCCCAGAGATCCCGGATAGCACAAACTTTTTTTTAAATGCCAGTCTGCTCTAGTTCATGACAGGTGCCTGAGCTGATGAACAAGTGATTTGTCCTAGAAACACCATTATATCTCCATAAATCCTTTCAGTTTCTTTCCCCTCTCATGGGATAAAGTACGGCATTCATTCACATAGGAATATCATAGATATGTTTCTTTGGGTGGCATCCCACTAGAATGACATATGGAATCATCCATACAGTGATTTAATAGGATCCCAGTGGGCATTCTCCTGTTTTGGGCCTTTAAATTGGGCTTCATTACAGCACATGGAGTCCCCTTCATTACAGCACATGGAGTCCCCTTCATTACAGCACATGGAGTCCCCTTCATTCAGTTAATCTCCTACCCCCCCCCCCCCCCCCCCCCCCTCCATCAGGCAGCAGAGAATCCGTACCTGGACGTTCTGAAACAGTTTAATCCATGCTCTGATTGGAATGTTGTTGTCATATGGAGGTCACAACACGGATCTATTATTTGTCACAAATTGTTTTATTATAAGTATGTACAATTGTATTGGGTTGTATAAAATATGCTGATATTCAGACATTAGCAGTGCTTTAGTACATAGTGATACAGAATGAGGATAATACAACACAGTACAGTATGAATACAGTACAGTAAGCTATTATTATTATTATTATTATTATTATTATTCAGTAACTATACAGTATAGTTGGTGCAACTGACTTGCCAGCAGCTGTAACAATTGCTGTCACCAGGTTTTCCAGAAATCCAGGTTTGAAAGATTCCCAATGGATTTCCTACTTATTCCATCCTGATTCCCGGAATCTTCCAACTGGGATTTCTTGAAAACTTCAGCATTTTTGGAAAGTTTCCCGAATTTTGCACTTCAACATACTCAAAACTGTCTGCTTGTGAACTAGCCTGATCATGCGATAGCTCACCATTCTGTTTCACCTCAAGGAAGCCCTGAGATCAGGTCGGTTCTACAAGGTTATCAAAACTGGGCACCACAGGGGGTTGGTGGAACCTTAATTGGGGAGAACGGACTCGTGGTAATGACTGGAGCGGAGTCTGTGGAATGGTAACAACTACATCAAATTCATGGTTTCCAGTTGTTTGATGCCATTCCATTTGCTCCGTTCCGGTCATTATTATGAGCTGTTCTCTCCTCAGCAGCCTCCTGTGATATGTACGTTTTGTTGTTTCTGGAAAACCTGGGAATTTGGGGAAAGTTACTAGAATTTTGCAACCCTAGTTTTGTTGAAGTCAAACACTTTCCTCTTTATTATCCTCAGCCTTCAGCTGGTTATCAGGGAGGAGGGGTTATCAGCCTTCAGCTGGTTATCAGGGAGGAGGGGTTATCAGCCTTCAGCTGGTTATCAGGGAGGAGGGGTTATCAGCCTTCAGCTAGTTATCAGGGAGGAGGGGTTATCAGCCTTCAGCTGGTTATCAGGGAGGAGGGGTTATCAGCCTTCAGCTGGTTATCAGGGAGGAGGGGTTATCAGCCATCGGCTGGTTATCAGGGAGGAGGGGTTATCAGCCTTCGGCTGGTTATCAGGGAGGAGGGGTTATCAGCCTTCGGCTGGTTATCAGGGAGGCGGGGTTATCAGCCTTCGGCTGGTTATCAGGGAGGAGGGGTTATCAGCCTTCAGCTGGTTATCAGGGAGGAGGGGTTATCAGCCTTCAGCTGGTTATCAGGGAGGAGGGGTTATCAGCCTTCGGCTGGTTATCAGGGAGGAGGGGTTATCAGCCATCGGCTGGTTATTAGGGAGGAGGGGTTATCAGCCTTCGGCTGGTTATCAGGGAGGAGGGGTTATCAGCCTTCATCTGGTTGTCAGGGAGGAGGGGTTATCCGCCTTCAGCTGATTATCAGGGAGGATGGGTTATCAGCCTTCAGCTGGTTATCAGGGAGGAGGGGTTATCAGCCTTCAGCTGGTTATCAGGGAGGAGGGGTTATCAGCCTTCATCTGGTTATCAGGGAGGAGGGGTTATCAGCCTTCAGCTGGTTATCAGGGAGGAGGGGTTATCAGCCTTCGGCTGGTTATCAGGGAGGAGGGGTTATCAGCCTTCGGCTGGTTATCAGGGAGGAGGGGTTATCAGCCTTCATCTGGTTATCAGGGAGGAGGGGTTATCAGCCTTCAGCTGGTTATCATGGAGGAGGGGTTATCAGCCTTTAGCTGGTTGTGAGGGGGAGGGGTTATCAGCCTTTAGCTGGTTGTGAGGGGGAGGGGTTATCAGCCTTCAGCTGGTTTTTAGGGGGGAGAGGTTATCAGCCTTCGGCTGGTTATCAGGGAGAAGGGGTTATCAGCCTTCATCTGGTTGTCAGGGAGGAGGGGTTATCCGCCTTCAGCTGATTATCAGGGAGGATGGGTTATCAGCCTTCAGCTGGTTATCAGGGAGGAGGGGTTATCAGCCTTCAGCTGGTTATCAGGGAGGAGGGGTTATCAGCCTTCATCTGGTTATCAGGGAGGAGGGGTTATCAGCCTTCAGCTGGTTATCAGGGAGGAGGGGTTATCAGCCTTCGGCTGGTTATCAGGGAGGAGGGGTTATCAGCCTTCATCTGGTTATCAGGGAGGAGGGGTTATCAGCCTTCAGCTGGTTATCATGGAGGAGGGGTTATCAGCCTTTAGCTGGTTGTGAGGGGGAGGGGTTATCAGCCTTTAGCTGGTTGTGAGGGGGAGGGGTTATCAGCCTTCAGCTGGTTTTTAGGGGGGAGGGGTTATCAGCCTTCAGCTGGTTATCAGGGAGGAGGGGTTATCAGCCTTCAGCTGGTTATCAGGGAGGAGGGGTTATCAGCCTTCAGCTGGTTATCAGGGGGGAGGGGTTATCAGCCTTCAGCTGGTTATCAGGGAGGAGGGGTTATCAGCCTTCAGCTGGTTTTTAGGGAGGAGGGGTTATCAGCCTTCAGCTGGTTATCAGGGAGGAGGGGTTATCAGCCTTCAGCTGGTTTTTAGGGGGGAGGTGTTATCAGCCTTCAGCTGGTTATCAGGGAGGAGGGGTTATCAGCCTTCAGCTGGTTATCAGGGAGGAGGGGTTATCAGCCTTTAGCTGGTTGTGAGGGGGAGGGGTTATCAGCCTTCAGCTGGTTTTTAGGGGGGAGGGGTTATCAGCCTTCAGCTGGTTATCAGGGAGGAGGGGTTATCAGCCTTCAGCTGGTTATTAGGGAGGAGGGGTTATCAGCCTTCAGCTGGTTATCAGGGAGGAGGGGTTATCAGCCTTCAGCTGGTTATCAGGGGGGAGAGGTTTATTTGGTTAGTAGGATCCCCATTAGCTTTTGCAGAAGCAGCAGCTACTATTCCTGGGGTCCACAAGATACACAAAACATGACAAGTAACAAAACACTGATACCCAAGGAAAGTCACAAATTTAAAATACTACAATATTCAAACAATGCAACTAAAAAATCATACAAACAATACAACTAAAAAATAATGTGTGTGTTAGAGTGTGTCTGTGTGTGTGTGTGTTAGAGTGTGTCTGTGTGTGTGTGTGTTAGAGTGTGTCTGTGTGTGTGTGTGTTAGAGTGTGTCTGTGTGTGTGTCCTCATTCCATGAGTTGTTTTTAAATCCGTTTTTTAAAGGGAAGGGAGTTCCATGCGATCATGGCTCTGTATAAAACTGTGCATTGCCTTGAGTTAGTTTTGGCCTTGGGGACTGTGAAGAGACCCCTGGTGGCATGTCTTGTGGGGTATGTATGGATGTCTGAGCTGAGTGTAATGCAGATAATCTGGAATTTTCATTACAGTAATATTTCCCATAATAACTAGAAGAGAAGCAGTTAATCTCACGTCAACCCTCAACCAGGAAAGTCTGGTATGCATGTTGTTGATAGTTTTGTATGTGTAGTTAAGGGCAAGGCGTGCTGCTCTGTTTTGAGCCAGCTGTACACTCTTAGAAAATAGGTCTCCAAAAGGGTTCTTCAGCTGTCCCCGTAGGAGAACCCTTTTTGGATCTAAGTGAAACCCTTTTTGGTTCCAGGTAGAACCATTTTGTGTTCCATGTAGATACCTCTGTGCAAAGGGTTCTACGTGAAACTCAAAAGGGTTCTACCTGGAACCAACAAGGGTTCTTCAAAGGGTTCTCCTATGGTTCTAAATGGTTTTAGGTTCGAGATAGCACCTTTTTTGCTAGGTCTTTCTTTACTGCACTTGACCATATTACCGGACAGTAATCAACTAGTACAGTTGATTTTTGTGTCAAAAACACAGAACATCTTTTTATAACAGACATACCCCTCCCCATCTTCACAACAAATTTGTCAATATGACTTGCCCATGATAATTGACCATCCAATGTTATACCTAGGAGTTTAGCTTCCTCAACTTGCTCAATGGTCACACCCTTTATGTACAACTCCAGTTGAGGTCAAGGTATTGGAGTGGCCATCACAAAGCCCTGACCTCAATCCTATAGAAAATGTGTGGGCAGAACTGAAAAAGCGTGTGCGAGCAAGGAGGCCTACAAACCTGACTCTGTCAAGAGGAATGGGCCAAAATTCACCCAACTTATTGTGGGAAGCTTGTGGAAGGCTAACCGAAACGTTTTACCCAAGTTAAACAATTTAAAGGCAATGCTACCAAATACTAATTGAGTGTATGTAAACTTCTGACCCACTGGGAATGTGATGAAAGAAATAAAAGCTGAAATAAATCACTCTCTCTACTATTATTCAGATTTTTTTTTACTAGGATTAAATGTCAGGAATTGTGAAAAACTGAGTTTAAATGTATTTGGCTAAAAGGTGTACGTAAACTTCCGACTTCAACTGGATCTGATTTTAGAGAAGCTTCCACTGAAGAAGACTCTCTGGGTTCTATTGGATAAATGACTCTCCAAGGGTTATCAGCCTTCAGCCTTCAGCTCTATTGGATAAATGACTCTCCAAGGGTTATCAGCCTTCAGCCTTCAGCTGGTTGTCAGGGGGCAGGGGTTATCAGCCTTCAGCCTTCAGCTGGTTGTCAGGGGGGAGGGGTTTCCCCAGGTGGTGTCCGGTGGTGATGCCGTGGGGGTGGGTGCTCCGCTCCTCCCTGACCTCCGGCCGCAGCATGAAGCCCCCGGGGAAGGTCAGGTCAAACAGCTCGCTGGGGGCAAAGGTCAGAGGTCGCTCGACCAGCAGGGTCTTCAGCCTGGCCCTCCAGCCATCCAGCATGGCTGTCCGTGTAGCGGGGGGACTGTGTCCAGGACACCAGAACACCTGGGGGGCTAGGACCTGGAACCCACAGAAGTGAAGGACGCCGTTCTGGAAGGATGGAGGGACGTGGAGGAGAGAGAAGAGGAGTGAGGAGCCTGGGTCAAATACATATCGCAAATACTTCAACTGCGCTTGGTTTAGTTTGCACAATATGCTACAATGGAACCAATGGAATAGTCCCAAAAAATGCAAACCCAAAACTAAATGAAACACATCTGAAATACAAATATTTGGAAGTAACTTCCAAGCATAAAAATGTTTGAGGAAACACATTTTGAGACAGTCGAGTATCCCCAACGCCACTTGATTGCCTTCTAAATCCATGAGAAGCAAATACAGTTGAATATTTTTTTTGTGTCACAATCTTCCCCTGGCTGTCTTCCTGGTTACCTGTAGGGGCCACAGTGTGACGTTAATGTCTCCGTTGAGGCCGTCAGGGCGGTACATAGTCTGCATAGCTCCAGTGCTGAACGACAACATGGCTTTCTTGTCCTGCAGAATGACAAAGAGCAGGAAATGTAACTCCAAACAAACACAGGCCCTATTCAATCCACAAAAAACACAATGTACTCTAACCTAGAAGCAACAACAGAGCCTGAACTGAATGAGAGGAGTGTGTCATTTCATGATATAGACATTATGTCCAAACAAAAAAAACACATATTTTGACCAATGGGTAAAATAATATATTAATTGTGTGGATAATCCTCTAACAAAACCCCAATGGGTCCAAACCTCATGTCTCTATCATAATCCATTCAAAAGTTATTGTTTTTACCCTTGTAGGATGTTTTTACCCTTGTAAAAATTGCCAAAATTAGGGTGACTAAATCAATGAAGGCCAGAGAGAAAAAGTGGTCGAAAATCTGGAAAATAGCATAGACTGGAATAGACTGGATGCTGTGAGAGAATGAAGAGGACCTGAGAGGCTCACCATTAAACTCGTCATTTTTTTTCTCCAATCCGGAGGACATAAAACAATATAGAGGTAAGATAGATATCAATTTTGAGACATGACATGTAGTATTTTTATATTTTAGTGTACCCTTTTCATATTAATGCAAAATTCCTGTTATCTTTCTCACAAAAACAAGTGTATCTCTCTGAAATGTCAACGGAGCACTGAGCGTACCGCAAGCTTTTTATTTTCAAATCCTTTTACATTTAATTAAGTTTGTGTCATGTTAATTTGGCTTTTTGTGACCCGCGGAAACAACTTTGCAGACAACCACCACAACATGTAAAATCCTCAACAGGCACCGCTCTGTCATCGGTGCTTATTATCGGATGTATTAGGTTACGAAATCCGACTTTTTGGATATAATGTTAATCAGTGCTTGACTTGGGATGAAAGAAGTGGAGGATCTGTCTTTTTCCAAGTCAGTCCATTAGACTATGTTCACCGAAATACACAAATGACATTATGCTATAGAGACCTGTGATTATTCACTGTTAAGGGTTCATACAGATTTTCCATGACTTCTTCATGACTTTTAACCACATTTCATGACTATTATTTAGCCTACATTATTGACAGTGGAAGGCTGCTGTGTCTGATCCCGTGTAGGCCTACCATCTCCTGCCGTTGTGCCCTTGATCAAGGCACTTAACCCTCCACAAAGTAGATCTGCACTGTTGTTAACATGTGGCCAACACTCTATCTGGAGAGCTGCTGGGTGTGCAGGCTTTAGATCCAGCCCTGAAACACCCAAGTCTGCTTATCAAGGTCCTGTTGAGCAGCTGATGTTTAGGCTACAGTGTGGTTAGATCAGGGCTGATGTTTAGGCTACAATGTGGTTAGATCAGGGCTGATGTTTAGGCTACAATGTGGTTAGATCAGGGCTGATGTTTAGGCTACAATGTGGTTAGATCAGGGCTGATGTTTAGGTTGCAATGTGGTTAGATCAGGGTTTGAACAAAAGCCTGCACACCCAGTAGTTATCCTGGAGGATGGTTGCCACCCTTGATATTAAATATTGCAACATTACAACCAAATACTTTTGTCTTGATCAAATTACTCCCTCATTCAATGAATCAGGGATCAAATGGGGCTCCCGAGTGGCGCAGCGGTCTAAGGCACTGTATCTCAGTGCTTGAGGCGTCACTACAGACCCGCTGGTTCGATTACAGGCTGTATCACAACCGGCCGTGATTGGGAGTCCCATAGGGCGGCGCACAATTGGCCCAGCGTCGTCCGGGTTTGGCCGGTGTAGGCCGTCATTGTAAATAAGAATTTGTTCTTAACTGACTTGCCTGGTAAAAAATATATATTTTTAAATGGATATGGTAGGCAACTTGAAAGCAAGGTATCTATCTAGACATGTTTATATATAAGGCTCAAATATCCATGTTTCAGAGGAGATCTATGCACAGCCAGGTATTGGTCAACTAGGCTATTCTTAGAATAGTTTTTAATGTTGTCTCAATGACATGGCTACTGTTTAATAGAGGGGAATCCCAGCTTTCCAACGGTGCAGATTTATTTAGGCTATGGAAAGGCAACATTAATGCTTAGTTGGCTATAGTTAACTAGTGAGATAGCCAGTTCAAAGTATAACTTGTAGTGGCGGCTCCTGAAAAAATTCTCAGGGGGGGCAATTTTTCTGATGATTTAGGTGACCTACACACATTTTTTAAAAGATATGTCCAGCAACAACATGAAGACAGGGGCAGCATATAAGTCAATACCAGAAGCATTTATTGACTGATCTCAAAAGTGTTGGCTTACAAAATCAAAATAAGTTATCACAGTAAAAATAATCAAGGGTGTTCTTTCACATTCCTCAACACTGCATAAACAATATGCATTTCCATAAACAAATGAAATATCAGCTGAAAATACAGCATCTTGGTATTTGTTCAGATTGCAGGATCAACAAGAGCTTTTACCACATTTTTTGCCTCATGGTTGAATTGGAAATATGTGCACCTGAGCATAATTCACAACAAGCAAGCAGGAGCTTTTGATAGAGGCTACTGAAAACATTGATGCAAGTTATTGGTAATAAGACATTTTTATAGACTTCCATATTCTGCCCTCTTGTATAGATTTGTGAAAATGAACAGTGATAGACATTTTGCTTGAAAACAGAATTTGAAAGTAATTTCTAGAAAAGGTAAACACAGCTATCTGTATGGCTTTGTAAAAATGAACAACCATATTCTGGCCAATTGTATAGATTTGTAAATATGAACAACCATATTCTGGCCAATTGTATAGATTTGTAAAAATGAACATGAACAGATATTTTTTTTTGTTTTACTTTTTTTTAAATGAAAAATAACTATTTTAAACAACATCAACTGTGAACTGATTTGGGCGTGTGTGTGTTAAAGAGACAGGGAGGGAGGGACAAAGAGAGAGAGAGGCTACATTACTTGTACTGAAACTGTTCTCTTCTCTGTTTCAATACAGCAAAGCGTTCAATGACTTTCTCATTGAAATCAGGCATGCTGAGGACTAGTTCCCTCTCCATGGAAAGCATGGCCAGTGCATGCAGACGTTCCTGGCCCATTGAATTTCGCAGGAATGTCTTAACTCGTGTCAAAGTTGAGAAACATCTCTCAGCTTCAGCTGTTGTCATGGGAGTAGTTATGAGGATGTTCAACAGAGTCACAGTCTCAGAGAACGTCTCCTGGAGGTTGTAGCTCATGAGAACCTGGTACAGTGCCAGTGCACCACAGCCTCCCTTGAATTCAGGATTCTCATAGATCAGAGATAGTTCTGTCTTGAGCTTTGCCTTGCTCAGCATGGGGTATGCATTCACAGTGGCATTCAGAGCCTCATCAGGAAATGAATGGCAGTACCTTTCAAACATGTCTGCTTGCAGTAAGGTAGCACTCACAAGGTGGCCAGAGAAAGAGAACCTTTCTTTGATGTGATCCAGGATGGTGTTGCAGACCTCTTCAGACAGCCTCTGCTTCTCCTCTTCTCTCAAAGCTGTTCTGGGTCTTTTGGCTCCTGTTGCTTCTTGCAGCTGCTGTTGAGAGGAGTCCCTGAAGGCAAACAGACCAATGTGTTTGTTGGCTTTGTACAGTATTGTTGTCTATGTGATGCACAGGTATATGCAATGTATCCATGATGTATAGTACAAATACTTCAGTTCCACTTAAAATGGGCAGGGATGCATAAAGTCTTTAGTGTTTAAGTTAGCCTTTGTGTCTCACATAGCCTGGATGTTCAGCACAGTATACAGTGGTGATCATAAGCTTATGATCCCATGCTAAAGTTGACTAAAAAGAGGAATAAAAAAGAAAAGAAAATTGGTGTCCATAAAGGTTGGATTTTCCAACTTTTTTAATTAAGTCATTAAGATAAATTTCCAAAAGACTATTTTTTTATTTTTTTATTCCTCTTTTTAGTCAACTTTAGAATGTGTTCATACACTTATGAGCACCACTGCACAGTACACATAGTATATAAAATAAAATAGATTACACCACTGGCCATATATAATGAGAATAATGTAATTTCAAACACAAATGCAGTCTCCTTTCATGCATACATTTTCAAATAAAGCTCTGCTTTGAGAAAGATTGAATGATATTGTTTAATCTTACCTTATGGCCTGCACACTGCTTGTGAAGCTGTCGAGGGCACTTTTGATAAAGACAGCATCGATGTCCTTCTTCTGTAGCTTCTGGTACAGAATGTCGACGTGGGGCATGATTTTGTGAAAAAGCCGCAGGAAAAAAATAAAATCTTCATCATGCAGCATCCTCACGTAGCCAGATGCCTCTCTCACTGTGCCCTGGTCAAATGAACCCAATGAACCCGTCCGGATGGCTTCAAAACATTCTATTAGGTCGTCTCGATTCTCGTAGACAGTGTTCACGACTCTGCTGTTGAAGTTCCACCGTGTGGATGAAGGTCTGGGCAGTCTTCGTGCAACAGTCTGGTCAAGAATGCTGGTGCGTTTGGGTGACCGGGAAAAAAAAGTTGTAATCCCGCTCAGATCGGAAAAGAAAATGTTCACTTTTTTGATGCGAGAAGTAGCTTGCTGCATGATCAAATTCAGCTGATGCGCATAGCAATGCACGTAATGGGCATTCTTGAAATGCTCACGCACCTTTTTCTGCACACCAGCCTTCTCTCCCCTCATCACACTGGCTCCATCGTAAGCTTGCGCAATGAGTTTGACTTTCTCGTCATCGGCAAAAAGACCGTTCAATCTCTCCAAAAGTACACTGGCGATTGAGACTGAGGTTGATTCCGAGATGGGAAGGAACTCAAAAAATCGCTCCTGCACTTTGTGCTTGCTATCTATGTACCTCAGCACAAGCACCAGCTGTGTCTGTGTAGAAACGTCCGTGGTCTCGTCAGCTTGGATAGCTACGAAGTTCGCAGACTTCACCTCCTCCACAATATGTTCCCTCGTGACCGCTAGCATACACTCCAGTAGCTCGTTTTGAATGGTCTTTGATGTGCCCTTGAAAACTTTAGCATTTTTAAGATGGTCATCAAACACCTCATCTAATTGTGCCACAAAGTTGACAAGTCCAAGAAAAATACCAGGGTTGGTGGAGCCCTCAGTTTCATCTTTGCCTCGCAAAGCTAACTCAAACACGCCGCAAAACTTCACACACTGGATTAGCCGGCTGAGGATATGGCGGTTCTTGCTAACCTCATCGTTGTGGCGGCGGACAGCTAGCCTGTATCCCTCATCCAGTTGAGTGGCAATATTCACTCTCCCAAAAGCAGAAATTCTCAAACAGCTATCCATGTGGGTCTTTGACAGCTCATGTTTCTTAATCTTTTCTGAAAGATGGTGCATGTCGGTTACACCAGTCGCTGTCCAAGCGGTGCTGTCTGCTGTGCCGCCTTCAGGGTGAAAGAGTAAGCAGGGGGTAGCAGAAGACTGCATTAGCTACATCGCAGCCTGCTAGCCAGGTTTTTCGTTCATACCAATTTTTTGAAAATCCTCGGGTGTAGGACTTCCCCCCTTTAGTAGAAACCTGTTGAATTATTAAATTTGGTCTGGGAGGTCCTAGTTGTTTCGTTGCCAATTTATCTTCATTTGTTCGCCGACAAAAAGGAAATTCTTTCAAAGACACAACCGAGTTGCACTGAAGCCTAGCCATGTTGATAGTAGTAGTGAATTGATTGACGCTGCTACCCTCTCTTTTCTTAGTTACGTTCATGTGACGAAAGCGCGTAAGTGCAAGCCCACAGACACCCATAGAGATTGTATTGAAGGCTCTGAAATTTGAAAAAAATAGATTTTACATGGGAGTCTATGACAGAAGTTCTGGGCGATTTTCAATCTGACTGAAATCGCCCCAAAATGGGGTGGAGCCATTTGAAGCACGACTTTAGCCTGATTCGACATTTAGTGGCAGTGTGGCACTGTGGCAGATCAGACGTATAGATTACAACACTGATAACTACTGTTGCCGTGATATAATTGATTAGAAAAAAAATCCCTTCCTTTTCCCGTTTGGCAGTGCGTCGCCCATATCGCCCTATTGAACAGGCCGTCCCTAAATTGTAGCAGTAATCTAGTTAGTCTGTTGTCTGTCATTATTTTTATACCTGCTGCTGAAATGTCTCCAGTGGCGGTCGGTGCCGTTTTAAGACGAGGGAGGACCATTTTTATTTTTCACGAGCTTGTCCTTATTTCTATTACAGCATATTGGATGACTCTCATTCATATTCCATTCACCCAGTTCGATGTAACAGCGATAGGTTTAGGCTACCACATGATACTCAAATGTTCCCTGTACCCATCACGAGGCTGCTACAAACCAGCCTACGAATGAAAGTTTACAACGTAGGTGCACACAGGCCCGAGAGACAAATTTGAGACGACAGACAGTGACACTCTTGCCTGCATCTAGCTGATCTAGGGTGTAATCATTAGTCCAACAGTTGCAAACGAGAGCTTCTATTGTGCAAATTCAGGTATGTTTATCACAGTTTTGTTCCGTTTAAGAAACGTTTTTCAACAGAATCGGCGGAATGAATACACCCCTGATCACCCCTAAACAGAGTTCACTCTCATAACAGCCACGTTGTATTCCTTCTCTTCCCTTCGTTTGTGGACTTCGACGCACAACACATCAGCTGTATGTGACCAGGCGAAAAAAGCTTTCCAAGCCAAACCGCTACACACAGCCTACATCGTTGTCACCATATTAGCTAAAGTAACGTCATAGTCAGCATAGCTAATAGAACTAAGGCGTTAGTAAACCCGCTACAATCATGCAGTAACGTTACAGTGTGCAGTCAGTAAGCAGTTACACCGGCGGGCCCCGGAGGCAATAAATTAGTAATACCAAAAGCTTACCTTGACTTTGAAGAGATCTAGTGTTGTGTTGGAAAGTCATAGCCAGCTAGCTAACATAGCATCCCTCTGTTTGAGCCAGGTGTTTCAGTAGGCTAAACTAGCTAGCTGCATTTGCTAGCTAAGTATGTGAAACTGAAAGTGAAGAAAAAAAAGACTAAACATTTCTCTCTCGCTTCTCCTTCATTTTGGAAGAAATTAATTTGTTCAAAACTGTTCAACTATTGTCTTTCTCTCTCTTTGAGTCAACTACTCACCACATTTTATGCACTGCAGCGCTAGCTAGCTGTAGCTCATGCTTTCAATCCTAGATTCATTATCTGATCCTTTGATTGGATGGACAACATGTCAGTTCATGCTGCAAGAGCTCTGATAGGCTGGAGGACGTCCTCCGGAAGTTGTCATAATTACTGTGTAAGTCTATGGAAGGGGGTGAGAACCATGAGCCTCCTAGGTTTTTGTATTGAAGTCAATGTACACAGAGGAGGACGGAAGCTAGCTGTCCTCCGGGCTACACCATGGTGCTACCCTACAGAGTGCTGTTGAGGCTACTGTAGAACTTTGTAAAATAGTGTGTTTTAATCAATAATTTGGTGACGTAATTATATTTAGTATAGTTTTAGATTCAGAACATGAAGAATCACATCCCCATGTGCTACATCAGCAGCGATTGGACGGGGCGCTGAAGATGGTGTCCATGAGAAGCTTTCATTGAGTTGCTTGAGTAATTGAGATTGTGAATAAAAATTAATATTTCTGGCCTGGTCATTCCCATGCTCCACTACCTGATGCAAATAACCTGTGTATTTTAGATTAGTCCAGAGGATCTCACCTCACAGCTACAGGAATAGTATTTGTTTAAATCCCCCACATTACATATGGGTTATGTTTGGGTTACATATGGGTTATGAATGGGTTATTATATGGGTTATGTTTGGGTTACATATGGGTTATGTTTGGGTTACATATGGGTTATGAATGAGTTACATATGGGTTATGAATGGGTTACATATGGGTTATGAATGGGTTACATATGGGTTATGAATGGGTTATATATGGGTTCTGTATGTGTTACAGAACCCATATATACACACTATTTTGCAAAGGTCTACAGTAACTCCTGAGTGGCGCAGTGGTCATCGCAGTGCTAACTGTGCCACTAGAGATCCTGGTTCGAATCCAGGCTCTGTCGCAGCCGGCCGCGACCGGGAGACTCATGGGCGGCGCACAATTGGCCCAGCGTCGTCCAGGGTAGGGGAGGGAATGGCTGGCAGGGATGTAGCTCAGTTGATAGAGCATTGCGTTTGTGGGTTCGATTCCCACGGGGGGCCAGTATAAAAAAATATGTATTCACTAACTGTAAGTCGCTCTGGATAAGAGCGTCTGCTAAATGACTAAAATGTAAAAATGTAAAAAATGTTATATATGGGTTATGTTTGGGTTACATATGGGTTATGAATGAGTTACATATGGGTTATGAATGAGTTACATATGGGTTATGTTTGGGTTACATATGGGTTATGAATGGGTTACATATGGGTTATGAATGAGTTACATATGGGTTATGTTTGGGTTACATATGGGTTATATATGGGTTATGTTTGGGTTACATATGGGTTATATATGGGTTATGTATGGGTAATATATGGGTTATGTTTGGGTTACATATGGGTTATATATGGGTTATGAGGTCCCTTCATATAAAGTTATATTGAAACTATAGTGCCATCGTATGCTGTTTTCCTGCTCATTGTCAATGGGTATGAAACTCTAACAGAGGCTACTGGAACTAAACACATGAACAGAAGGGTCAAAAGGTCAAACCTGGAATATTCCATTGTTGTACATCTTCTGCAGTGAGAAGGCAAAGCCTTGAGTCAGGACTCTGTCTATCCAGCCCTTCATGATGGCTGGAACACTGAACCAGTACAGAGGGAACTGATGGGGAGAGAGATGTGGTTGACACTACATCTACACCAATCCAATGATTATTAAACTATGATGGGGAGCGGAGGCTTAAATACTTTTGGGAGAATGGTAGAGAATTTAAACGCAGCAAGGCACAGTCTAAGAAGAAAGACGGACAGAGAGAAAGAGAGACAGAAAGAGAGGTGGGGGAGGGGAGAGAGACAGAATAGAGGTGGGGGAGGGGAGAGAGACAGAAAGATATAGAGGTGGGGGAGGGGAGAGAGACAGAGAGGTGGTGGAGGGATGAGACAGAGAGGTGGGGAGAGGCGGGAGAGAGACAGGAGAGAGACAGAGAGGGGGGGAGGGGAGTGAGACAGAGAGGTGGGGGAGGGGAGGAGGAGGGAGAGGAGAGAGGGGGGGGGACAGAAAGAGAGGTGGGGGGGGAGGGGAGGCGAGACAGAAATAGATGGGTGGGGGAGGGGGAAGAGAGACGGGAGATAGGAGGGGAGAGAAGAAGACAGAAATAGAGTGGGGGAGGGGAGGGGAGAGAGAAAGAATAGAGGTGGGGGAGGGGAGGGGAGAGAGAGAAAGATTAGAGGTGGGGGAGGGGAGGGAGAGAGAGCAGAAATAGAGGTGGGGGAGGGGAGAGGCGAGAGAGACAGAATAGAGGGGGGAGGGGAGGAGGGGACAGAAAAGAGGTGGGGGGGGGGGAAAAGAGACAGAAAGAGAGGTGGGGGAGGGGAGGGGGAGAGAGACAAAAGAGAGGTGGGGGAGGGGAGGGGAGAGAGACAGAAAAGGAGGGTGGGGAGGGGGAGGGGAAAGAAAAAAGAAGGGGGGGGGGGGGGAGAGAGACAGAAAAAAGGGGGGGGAGGGGAGGGGTTTAGAGACAGAGAGGGGGGGAGGGGTGAGAGCAGAAATAGAGGTTTGGGGGAGGGGAGGGGGAGAGAAAGAGAGGTGGGGGAGGGGGAGGAGACAGAAAAGAGGGGGGGGGGAGGGGGGAGAGAGAGACGACAGAAAAGGGGGAGGGGGGGGGAGGCGAGAGCGACAGAAAGAGAGCGTGGGGGAGGGGGGGAGGAGGGGAGAGAGACAGAGATGGTGGGGGAGGGGAGAGGAGACAGAAAGAGATGGTCGGGGTGGGGGAGGGGAGGGGGAAAGGACAGATAGAGAGGTGGGGGGGGGAGGGGGGGAGAGAGACAGAAAGAGAGGTGGGGGAGGGGAGGGGATAGAGACAGAGAGGTGGGGGAGGGGTGAGAGACAGAAATAGAGGTGGGGGAGGGGAGGGGAGAGAGACAGAGAGGTGGGGGAGGGGGAGAGAGACAGAAATAGAGGTGGGGGAGGGGAGAGAGACATAAATAGAGGTGGGGGAGGGGAGGGGAGTGAGACATAAATAAAAAGAGGGTGGGGGAGGGGAGAGAGACAGATAGAGAGGTGGGGAGGGGTGGGAGACAGATAGAGAGGTGGGGGAGGGGAGTGAGCCAGAAATAGAGGTGGGGGAGGGGTGGGAGACAGATAGAGAGGTGGGGGAGGGGGAGTGAGACAGAAATAGAGGTGGGGGGGAGCGAGACAGAAATAGAGGTGGGGGAGGGGAGGGGAGTGAGACAGAAATAGAGGTGGGGGAGGGGAGGGGGAGTGAGACAGAAATATATGTCGGGGGGAGGGGGAGAGAGACAGAAATAGAGGTGGGGGGGAGTTGAGACAGAAATAGAGGTGGGGGAGGGGGAGAGAGGACAGATATAGAGGTGGGGGAGAAGAGAGAGACAGAAATAGAGGTGGGGGGGAGAGAGACAGAAATAGAGGTGGGGGGGGAGAGAGACAGAAATAGAGGTGGGGGAGGGGAGGGGAGAGAGAGAAAATAGAGGTGGGGGAGGGGAGGGGAGAGACAGAAATAGAGGTGGGGAGGGGAGGGAGAGAGACAGAAACAGAGGTGGGGGAGGGGAGGAGACAGATATAGAGGTGGGGGAGGGGAGGGGAGTGAGACAGAAATAGAGGTGGGGGGAGGGGAGAGAGAGACAGAAATATATGTCGGGGGAGGGGAGTGAGACAGAAATAGAGAGGGGGGGGGAGGCGGGAGGGAGGAGAGGGAGAGAGGGGGAGAGAGACAGAAATAGAGGGGGGGGGGGGGGGAGGGGAGTGAGACAGAAATAGAGGTGGGGGAGGGGAGAGAGACAGAAATATATGCGGGGGAGGGGGAGTGAGACAGAAAAATAGAGATGGGGGGGGGGAGGGGAGAGAAAAATGAGGGGAGGTGGGGGAGGGGAGTGAGACAAAAATAGGAGGTGGGGGGAGGGGGAGAGAGACAGAAATATAGTCGGGGGAGGGGAGTGAGACAGAAATAGAGGTGGGGGAGGGGAGGGGAGAGAGAAAGATATAGAGGTGGGGGAGGGGAGTGAGACAGAAATATATGTCGGGGGAGGGGAGAGGAGAGAGACAGAAATAGAGGTGGGGGAGGGGAGAGAGAAGAAAAGATGGGTGGGGGAAAGGGGGAGTGAGACAGAAATATATTGTGAGGGGGAGGGGGGGAGAAAACAGAAATAGAGGGGGGGGAGATGGGGAGTGAGACATAAATAGAGGTGGGGAGGGGAGGGAGACAGAAATAGAGGTGAGGAGTGGAAGAGACAGAAATAGAGGTGGGGGAGGGGGAGGGGAGGGGAGGGAGTGAGACAGAAATAGAGGTGGGGGAGGAGAGAGAGACAGATATAGAGGTGGGGGAGGAGAGAGAGACAGATATAGAGGTGGGGGAGGAGAGAGAGACATAAATAGAGGTGGGGGAGGGGAGAGACAGAATAGAGGTGGGGGAGGGGAGTGAGACAGAAATAGAGGTGGGGGAGGAGAGAGAGACATATAGAGAGGTGGGGGAGGGGAGAGAGACAGAAATATAGAGGTGGGGGAGGGGAGTGAGACATAAATAGAGGTGGGGGAGGGGAGAGAGACATATAGAGAGGTGGGGGAGGGGAGTGAGACATAAATAGAGGTGGGGGAGGAGAGAGAGACATAAATAGAGGTGGGGGAGGAGAGGGAGACAGAAATAGAGGTGGGGGAGGGGAGAGAGACATATAGAGAGGTGGGGGAGGGGAGAGAGACAGAAATATAGAGGTGGGGGAGGGGAGTGAGACATAAATAGAGGTGGGGGAGGGGAGAGAGACATATAGAGAGGTGGGGGAGGGGAGTGAGACATAAATAGAGGTGGGGGGGGAGAGAGACAGAATAGAGGTGGGGGAGGGGAGGGGAGTGAGACAGAAATAGAGGTGGGGGAGGAGAGGGAGACAGAAATAGAGGTGGGGGAGGAGAGGGAGACAGAAATAGAGGTGGGGGAGGGGCGAGAGACAGAAATAGAGGTGGGGAGGGGAGTGAGACAGAAATATATGTCGGAGGAGGGGAGAGAGACAGAAATAGAGGTGGGGGAGGGGAGAGAGAAACATAAATAGAGGTGGGGGGGAGGGGAGAGAGACAGAATAGAGGTGGGGGAGGGGGAGAGAGACAGAAATAGAGGTGGGGGGAGGGGAGGGGAGAGAGGACAGAGAGGTGGGGGAGGGGTGAGAGACAGAATAGAGGTGGGGGAGGGGAGAGAGACAGAATAGAGGTGGGGGAGGAGAGAGAGACAGATATAGAGGTGGGGGAGGGGGAGAGAGACATAAATAGAGGTGGGGGAGGGGAGGGGAGTGAGACAGAAATAGAGGTGGGGGAGGGGAGAGAGACATAAATAGAGGTGGGGGAGGGGAGGGAGAGAATATAGGTGGGGGAGGGGAGAGAGACAGAAATAGAGGTGGGGGAGGGGAGGGAGAGAGACAGAAATAGAGGTGGGGGAGGGGAGGGAGACAGAAATAGAGGGGGGGAGGGGAGAGAGACAGAAATAGAGGTGGGGGAGGGGAGAGAGACAGAAATAGAGGTGGGGGAGGGGAGAGAGACAGAAAGAGGCAGAAGAGAGCAAGAAAGGGGAAAGAAAGAGAGAGAGAGAGAGGGGGGGGGGGGGGAGTGTGTGACCTCTGACCTGGAAGATGACGAGCTCCGCCGCCTCCACTTTCCGCTGCTCAGCTATGATGTCATCACTGAGTCGACCCTCCTTCCAGGCTTCCATGGTCTCCTCCCCGTACTTGAAGTGCTCCGGGTTCTTCACCTCACCTGACAAAGGGACAGAACAGCAGCAACGTCCAGCGTGTGTTCGCGTGTTGGCATGTGTGCTGGCGTGTGTGAGCATGTGTGTGTGTGTGTTGGCGTGTGTGTGTGTGTGTACCTGTGATATCGTCCATAGTGGCGGAGGATCTGAAGTTCATGGCGTAGAGGTCAGACACAACGACCTTGTAGCCCTGCTGTCTGAGGGCTTCCACCGCAACGTCCTTCGCTGCCGAGTTAAAGGACCCCCCACTCTGGTGGGCGTACACAATCAGGACTGTCTTCTGAGCTGGTACACACACAGGGACGCACACACACACACACACACACACACACACACACACACACAGGGATGCATACACACATACACACACACACACACACACACAGGGATGCATACAACCACCCACACACACACACACACACACACACACACACACACACACAGGGATGCATACAACCACCCACCCACACACACACACACACACACACACACACACACACACACACACACACACACACACACACAGGGACGCATACACACACACACACACACACACACACACAGGGATGCATACAACCACCCACACACACACACACACACACACACACACACACACACAGGGATGCATACAACCACCCACCCACACACACACACACACACACACACACACACACACACACACACACACAGGGATGCATACAACCACCCACCCACACACACACACACACAGGGATGCATACACACACACAGGGATGCATACACACACACACACACCCACCGACACCCACACACACACACACACCCACCGACACCCACACACACACACACACACACAGAGAGAGGGAGAATGAAGAGTAAGGACGCCATGTATGATAAGGTGGTCGATGGATCAGTCATAACTGTTTACCTAACGTAAAACCACATGTCAAGTTACATTTCATTATGAATGTGTTATTACCTTGTTTTTACTCACTCTTAGGAAAAAAGGGTTCCAAAAGGGTTCTGTCCCAACAGGAGAACCCTTTTTGGTTCCAGGTAGAACCCTTTTAGAACCCAAAAGAGTTCTACGTGGAACCAAAAAGGGTTCTACCTGGAACCAAAAAGGGTTCCACCAGGAACCAAAAGTTTTTTTGGGGGGACAGACGGGAAAAAACGTTTTGGTTCTAGATCGCACCTTTTATTCTAAGAATGTGTGTCATTACTGTATTATTACTGCGACTTCGTTCCAAATGGCACCCTGTTCCCTTTATAGTGCACTACTTCTGACCAGGGTTCATAGGGTCATGCACTACATAGGGCAGTGTTTCCCAACTCCAGTCCTCCAGTACCCCCAACACCACACATTTCTGATGTAGTCCCAGACAAGCACACCTGATTCAACTTGTCAACTCATCATCAAGCCCTCGATGAGTTGAACCAGGGGTCATTTGGGCCCCAGCCTGTATTAGTGGGTTATTACTCAGGTTACCAGGAACCACCATTACCGCGTTCTAGGTTGAGCAGTAGACTGCTTGTACATTCCATTCACATACTTTCAGAGAGAGTCGTGAAGGGAAAACATGTCTAGTAAGTCTTCCATCAGGGGGTACAAAAACAATATCCTATTACAGACAGTACTGACTGTAGGCTGGCCAGGAGGCTCCACAACATCCTCCTGTTACAGACAGTACTGACTGTAGGCTGGCCAGGAGGCTCCACAATATCCTCCTGTTACAGACAGTACTGACTGTAGGCTGGCCAGGAGGCTCCACAACATCCTCCTGTTACAGACAGTACTGACTGTAGGCTGGCCAGGAGGCTCCACAACATCCTCCTGTTACAGACAGTACTGACTGTAGACTGGCCAGGAGGCTCCACAACATCCTCCTGTTACAGACAGTACTGACTGTAGGCTGGCCAGGAGGCTCCACAACATCCTCCTGTTACAGACAGTACTGACTGTAGGCTGGCCAGGAGGCTCCACAATATCCTCCTGTTACAGACAGTACTGACTGTAGGCTGGCCAGGAGCCTCCACAACATCCTCCTGTTACAGACAGTACTGACTGTAGGCTGGCCAGGAGGCTCCACAACATCCTCCTGTTACAGACAGTACTGACTGTAGACTGGCCAGGAGGCTCCACAACATCCTCCTGTTACAGACAGTACTGACTGTAGGCTGGCCAGGAGCCTCCACAACATCCTCCTGTTACAGACAGTACTGACTGTAGGCTGGCCAGGAGCTCCACAACATCCTCCTGTTACAGACAGTACTGACTGTAGGCTGGCCAGGAGGCTCCACAACATCCTCCTGTTACAGACAGTACTGACTGTAGGCTGGCCAGGAGGCTCCACAACATCCCGTTACAGACAGTACTGACTGTAGGCTGGCCAGGAGGCTCCACAACATCCTCCTGTTACAGACAGTTACTGACTGTAGGCTGGCCAGGAGGCTCCACAACATCCTCCTGTTACAGACAGTACTGACTGTAGGCTGGCCAGGAGGCTCCACAACATCCTCCTGTTACAGACAGTGGCCAGGAGGCTCCACAACATCCTCCTGTTACAGACAGTACTGACTGTAGGCTGGCCAGGAGGCTCCACAACATCCAACAGTACAGTGGCCAGGAGGCTCCACAACATCCTCCTGTTACAGACAGTACTGACTGTAGGCTGGCCAGGAGGCTCCACAACATCTCCTGTTACAGACATTGTAGACTCAGGAGGCTCCACAACATCCTCCTGTTACAGACAGTTACTGACTGTAGGCTGGTCAGGAGGCTCCACAACATCCTCCTGTTACAGACAGTGCCTGTAGGAGGCATCCACAACATCCTCCGTTACAGACAGTACTGACTGTAGGCTGGTCAGGAGGCTCCACAAACATCCTCCTGTTACAGACAGTACTGACTGTAGGCTGGCCAGGAGGCTCCACAACATCCTCCTGTTACAGACAGTACTGACTGTAGGCTGGCCAGGAGGCTCCACAATATCCTCCTGTTACAGACAGTACTGACTGTAGGCTGGCCAGGAGGCTCCACAACATCCTCTGTTACAGACAGTACTGACTGTAGACTGGCCAGGAGGCTCCACAACATCCTCCTGTTACAGACAGTACTGACTGTAGGCTGGCCAGGAGGCTCCACAACATCCTCCTGTTACAGACAGTACTGACTGTAGACTGGCCAGGAGGCTCCACAACATCCTCCTGTTACAGACAGTACTGACTGTAGGCTGGCCAGGAGGCTCCACAACATCCTCCTGTTACAGACAGTACTGACTGTAGGCTGGCCAGGAGGCTCCACAATATCCTCCTGTTACAGACAGTACTGACTGTAGGCTGGCCAGGAGCCTCCACAACATCCTCCTGTTACAGACAGTACTGACTGTAGGCTGGCCAGGAGGCTCCACAACATCCTCCTGTTACAGACAGTACTGACTGTAGACTGGCCAGGAGGCTCCACAACATCCTCCTGTTACAGACAGTACTGACTGTAGGCTGGCCAGGAGCCTCCACAACATCCTCCTGTTACAGACAGTACTGACTGTAGGCTGGCCAGGAGCCTCCACAACATCCTCCTGTTACAGACAGTACTGACTGTAGGCTGGCCAGGAGGCTCCACAACATCCTCCTGTTACAGACAGTACTGACTGTAGGCTGGCCAGGAGGCTCCACAACATCCCGTTACAGACAGTACTGACTGTAGGCTGGCCAGGAGGCTCCACAACATCCTCCTGTTACAGACAGTACTGACTGTAGGCTGGCCAGGAGGCTCCACAACATCCTCCTGTTACAGACAGTGGCCAGGAGGCTCCACAACATCCTCCTGTTACAGACAGTACTGACTGTAGGCTGGCCAGGAGGCTCCACAACATCCTCCTGTTACAGACAGTACTGACTGTAGACTGGCCAGGAGGCTCCACAACATCCTCCTGTTACAGACAGTACTGACTGTAGGCTGGCCAGGAGGCTCCACAACATCCTCCTGTTACAGACAGTGGCCAGGAGGCTCCACAACATCCTCCTGTTACAGACAGTACTGACTGTAGGCTGGTCAGGAGGCTCCACAACATCCTCCTGTTACAGACAGTACTGACTGTAGACTGGCCAGGAGGCTCCACAACATCCTCCCGTTACAGACAGTACTGACTGTAGGCTGGCCAGGAGGCTCCACAACATCCTCCTGTTACAGACAGTACTGACTGTAGGCTGGCCAGGAGGCTCCACAACATCCTCCTGTTACAGACAGTACTGACTGTAGACTGGCCAGGAGGCTCCACAACATCCTCCTGTTACAGACAGTACTGACTGTAGGCTGGCCAGGAGGCTCCACAACATCCTCCTGTTACAGACAGTACTGACTGTAGACTGGCCAGGAGGCTCCACAACATCCTCCTGTTACAGACAGTACTGACTGTAGGCTGGCCAGGAGGCTCCACAACATCCTCCCGTTACAGACAGTACTGACTGTAGGCTGGCCAGGAGGCTCCACAACATCCTCCTGTTACAGACAGTACTGACTGTAGGCTGGCCAGGAGGCTCCACAACATCCTCCTGTTACAGACAGTACTGACTGTAGGCTAGCCAGGAGGCTCCACAACATCCTCCTGTTACAGACAGTACTGACTGTAGGCTGGCCAGGAGGCTCCACAACATCCTCCTGTTACAGACAGTACTGACTGTAGACTGGCCAGGAGGCTCCACAACATCCTCCTGTTACAGACAGTACTGACTGTAGACTGGCCAGGAGCCTCCACAACATCCTCCTGTTACAGATAGTACTGACTGTAGGCTGGCCAGGAGGCTCCACAACATCCTCCTGTTACAGACAGTACTGACTGTAGGCTGGCCAGGAGGCTCCACAACATCCTCCTGTTACAGACAGTACTGACTGTAGGCTGGCCAGGAGGCTCCACAACATCCTCCTGTTACAGACAGTACTGACTGTAGGCTGGCCAGGAGGCTCCACAACATCCTGCCGTTACAGACAGTACTGACTGTAGACTGGCCAGGAGGCTCCACAACATCCTCCTGTTACAGACAGTACTGACTGTAGGCTGGCCAGGAGGCTCCACAACATCCTCCCAAGGGGACTTGGCTAGCAGTGAAAGTTGTCCCTGCATTGTTTTATTGGTAACATGATAATAGTTGCTTTTGGTTACACTTAACACTAAATGACTGTGTAATTATTCCTGCAAGCACACTGGGAAAGTATTGTAATGACTTATTATTGGTATACTGTGGGTTAGGGTTATTGCTGTAAGTAGGGTTAGGGTTATTGCTGTAAGTAGGGTTAGGGTTATTGCTGTAAGTAGGGTTAGGGTTATTGCTGTAAGTAGGGTTAGGGTTATTGCTGTAAGTAGGGTTAGGGTTATTGCTGTAAATAGGGTTAGGGTTATTGCTGTAAGTAGGGTTAGGGTTATTGCTGTAAGTAGGGTTAGGGTTATTGCTGTAAGTAGGGTTAGGGTTATTGCTGTAAGTAGGGTTAGGGTTATTGCTGTAAGTAGGGTTAGGGTTATTGCTGTAAGTAGGGTTAGGGTTATTGCTGTAAGTAGGGTTAGGGTTATTGCTGTAAGTAGGGTTAGGGTTATTGCTGTAAGAAGGGTTAGGGTTATTGCTGTAAGTAGGGTTAGGGTTATTGCTGTAAGTAGGGTTAGGGTTATTGCTGTAAGTAGGGTTAGGGTTATTGCTGTAAGTAGGGTTAGGGTTATTGCTGTAAGTAGGGTTAGGGTTATTGCTGTAAGTAGGGTTAGGGTTATTGCTGTAAGTAGGGTTAGGGTTATTGCTGTAAGTAGGGTTAGGGTTATTGCTGTAAGTAGGGTTAGGGTTATTGCTGTAAGTAGGGTTAGGGTTATTGCTGTAAGTAGGGTTAGGGTTATTGCTGTAAGTAGGGTTAGGGTTATTGCTGTAAGTAGGGTTAGGGTTATTGCTGTAAGTAGGGTTAGGGTTATTGCTGTAAGTAGGGTTAGGGTTATTGCTGTAAGTAGGGTTAGGGTTATTGCTGTAAGTAGGGTTAGGGTTATTGCTGTAAGTAGGGTTAGGGTTATTGCTGTAAGTAGGGTTAGGGTTATTGCTGTAAGTAGGGTTAGGGTTATTGCTGTAATACAACTCGTTCAGTGTAACCAGGTCAGGGCCAGTAGATTCTGTATCATCCGTCTCTTCTTATTGTGCATAATTCTCTCCAGGTAGGCTACAATGGCTAAACCAATGGAATAGTCCCAAAAATACAAACTCCAAACTAATTTAAAAACACACAAGTATTTGAATGCTTCCCAACCTAAAAGAGGATGAAGTAGATATGATCTACTTTCGTGTAAATTGTAGAGTGGTATGTTGATCAAAGATAAAACCATTTCCTGTCTACCAGTAGCAGGGAGCTAACTAACCTTTCCTTCCTCCACATTGTACTATAGTATAAGTCAACCCTGTCCTGTCTACCAGTAGCATGGAGCTAATAAACCCTAACCCTGAACCCCAAGCCTCAAGACAAGACCAAACTACACTGAACAAAACTATAAACGCACATGTAAAGTGTTGGTCTTGTTACAGGCTTTGGTTTTTTCCATTTCTGTTTTGAGGTTGGACTTTAGCATGTAGGGCGCACCAATCGGTGTCATCTCGTTAGTCGGTATGTGTTACACCTGTGCTGGTTACCACCTTGTCAGTGGGAAGGTGTTTCACCTGTGCTGGCCCAGGTGCTATTTAAGAGTGGCTGGCCCAGTGCTCCAGTGGTCTTGGTAGATGTGGAGGGTCAACACCTTGAATTGGCGCTCCCTACTTGAGTTCTAGAAAAAACATCCCTTTCTCTGATCTTCCCTGTTTTTGTTTTACGCCACCATTTTGGTCTGCTTCCTGTCTAAGTATGGTGTGGGTTTTTATTTTGTTTGCCTCTTCTTGGGCAAATTAGTGGGCGCTCACGGTGGGCGTCTTTTAGGTTCCAGTTGTTGTTGCTAGTCAACTATCAGTGGACCCCCCCATGAGTATCTTTTAGAACCCCTCCTAAAACCCCACCTGTTTTGTTTTGGTTGTTGTCAGTGGCTCTTTGTTAGTTCCCCCTTCTGTTTGAGCAATATTATTTGGGTTTTCTTGCTGGGGAAAGTAACAGTCCCATGTTTCATGAGCTGAAATAAAAGATCCCAGGAATTTTCCATACCCACAAAAAGCTTATTTCTCTCAAATTTTGCCACAAATTTGTTTACATCCCTTTTAGTGAGCATTTCTCCTTTGCCAAGATAATCCATCCACCTGACAGGTGTAGCATATTAAGAAGCTGATCAAACAGCATGCTCATTACACAGGTGCACCTTGTGCTGGGGCCAATAAAAGGCCACTCTAAAATGTGCAGTTTGATCACAACACAATGCAACAGATGTCTCAAGTTTTGAGGGAGCGTGCAATTGGCATGTTGAGTGCAGGAATGTCCACCAGAGCTGTTGCCAGAGAATTGAATGTTAATTTCTCTACTATAAGCCGCCTCCACCGTCGTTTTAGAGAATTTGGCAGTACGTTTGCTGGTTTTCTGATGTCACCGTTGTGAACAGAGTGCTGTATGGTGGTGGTGGGGTTATGATATGGGCAGGCATAGGCTACGGACAACAAACACAATTGCATTTTATCAATGGCAATTTGAATGCACAGAGATACCGTGACAAGATCCTTAGGCCCATTGTCTTGCCATTCATCCGCCGCCATCACCTCATGTTTCAGCATGATAATGCACTGCCCCATGTTGCAAGGATCTGTTCACAATTCGCGGAAGCTGAAAATGTCCCAGTTCTTCCATGTCCTGCATTCTCACCAGACATGTCACCCATTGAGCATGTTTGGGATGCTCTGGATTGACGTGTACGACAGCGTGTTCCAGTTCCCGCCAATATCCAGCAACTTCACACAACAATTGAAGAGGAGTGGGAACACATTCCACAGGCCACAATCAACAGCCTGATCAAATCCATGCGAAGGAGATGTGTGGCGCTGCATGAGGCAAATGGTGGTCACACCAGATACTGACTGGTATTCTGATCCACGCCCATACCTTTTTGTTAAGGTATCTGTGACCAACAGATGCATGTCTGTATTCCCAGTCCATGTGAAATCCATAGATTAGGGCCTCATTAATTTTATTTCATTTGACTGATTTCCTTATATGAACTGTAACTCAGTAAAATCTTTGAAGTTGTTGCATGTTGCGTTTATATTTTTGCTCAGTATAGTTCCCCTAACAGGTCATAGAGCCTACAATGCACACTGGTGTAAAGTTCTTAAGTAAAAATACTTTAAAGTACTACTTAAGTAGTTTTTGTGGGTATCTGTACTTTACTATTTATATTTTTGACTACTTTTACTTTTACTTCAATACATTCCTAAAGAAAATGACGTACTTTTTACTTCATACATTTTCCCTGACACCCAAAAGTACTCGTTACATTTTGAATGCTTAGCAGGACAGGAAAATGGACCAATTCATTAATTTTTCTATTAAGGTATCTTTACTTTTACTCAAGTATGACAACTGGGCACTTTTTCCACCACTGACAATACATCATGCATACATTGTGTTAGGTAAACTACAAAGGAACAATTGTCTAAAACTGTTAAAGTTCAATAATGCTGATCACAATAATCTCCTTTAATAAATAAAAACTTGGTCGTTTTGTCATTATAGCATTTGCATAAATCTTACTTGTAAATCATAATCAGTACAGCAACACAAAGTAGGCTACTAACGCATCAGCACAAAATCACAGCACTTCGCTATTCACTCAAACACTGCACAAATGCATGACAACTTAAAATTCAGCTGAACAAGCCACCAGGACAATGAAATATAAACCAAAGTACCTGAAAGCAGAGGTATTGTAAATGCACTATATTTCATCATTGAGAGTGAGACTTACCCATGGCGAGTGTTTATGATCGGCTCTTCCCCCGGCTCTGTCCGTGTGCTCTCCTGCAACTCGAGGGGAAGACCTTGTCTGGTGCCGCAGCGCGCAGCTCTTATTATAACCGCCCGCGGTATTTCGCGTGAGAAACATTGTTCGATTGAAACTGAGATTGAGCGGTTACGCAACAACAGGGGCTCGAGCTGCACGTACAAACAGAAGAAAATAAGAAAGAAAAAAAACGTCGGGTAGCCTAGTCAGCCATGGGACCGGCCAGTCTATCCTGGCGTGTTTTAAAATCGGGTAATGTTACGGTCACGCGCTGAGTTCACCGGTTGAGGAGAGAATGATTGGTTTACTACGTTTGGCTTTGGGAAAACAGTGTTTTAGGTATTTTTCTCTGGAGGATACCGTTCATATGGGCACCATGAGTTTATACGACTGAAGTGCGCTTCATTAGGAACATCGTTAAGAGAAAAATGCTCTCACACCTACTCTGGACCTTTTGGGCCATTTTAAAGGTGTTCCAACACTGGACTCCCTTAAACACAGTACTTCGCCCGAAGTGAATTTCGTAGCATGTTAAGAAAGCATTTCGCAAACCCTAACTATTTTCCTAACCTTAACCTAATTCTCCTAACCTGATACGTTACTTCTCCAAACCTGCTGCGTAAGTTCTCCTAACCTGCTACGAAAAAGTCACTTTCGGTTGGAGCTGTATCGAAGTTGCGTGTTCTTAGGCTGTCTGGTTCCAACACACAGGACACCTATGGTGCTGCGTGCGGCCTCAGTATTTGCGTGCGGTGGGGACCAGCGCCGAATGCGCCATGCATGACATGATGACTAGTCTCAAAACCAAGACTGACTGGTTTGACTGGTCTCGGACTGTTTGGAATGTCACTTGCACACTTTTGTCACCCCTCACTGGACAGACAGACAGACAGACAGACAGACAGACAGACAGACAGACAGACAGACAGACAGACAGACAGACAGACAGACAGACAGACAGACAGGCAGGCAAACAGATGGGCAGACAGACAGACAGACAGACAGACAGACAGACAGACAGACAGACAGACAGATACACACACACACAGAGGTTGGGACAGCTGATATATATAATTAGATCAAGATGAACTTGCTGTCTTTATATAGTTGCACAATAACGACATAGCCCACATTCTACAAGTAGGACACACAAACACACACACACACACACACACACAGGTGTCCCACGAACATCATCAACTTTTACTTTGACCTATAGATTGAATGTATGTATTATGTTATGTTAACAGCTAATTGCAAGGCAAGGTTCTGCCCAGTAATCCGTTCTACAATGTGCTGTGTCATAATGAGCTCCGTTTCCACCACGTAATGAGCTTAACATGTTTATGGAGCACATCACTTTTTTGGGGCTACACAAACATCCACTTGTGGGATGTGGGTGCGTTTTCACGCTCTGCCCATTTCCTCCGCAGTCAACCATGTGGTGTGCATTTTTGTGTTTGGAAAGGTGCGGTGTTAATTGAGTGAGAGTGGAAATGGTTGCATATCCTAGATGGGATGGACCACTGTAATTATTTGCTAGGATAATAATTGCTTGTCAATAAATTAAATGTAATACAATGGCAATCCGGGTTATATGTTAAAATCCTACGTATGAACTGCCAACATTATTACGCATATTAATTGATAATGATGGAAAATAAGAAATGCAAGATATTTGAATAGATATATATTTTTTAATAGTTATATAAAGAGGTGACAGCATTGGAAATGCTTTTGGCGGTTGTCCTGCTTCTGTTTTGTGGGTGGCACTGTGTGCTGTTTTCGATGGATGGGTCCTGGCCTCTTGGGGCCCTAGGGATCCGGCGGGACGTGGGTGGGATGCCGATCACTGGGATGATGGCTCAACTTGGGATGGGGAGGGGCTTTAGCGGGGGAATTAGTGGAGAACAATTGAAGGGATACTTAGTAGCAATGCAAATATCATGGTACAGCTATATGGACACTCAATCATTACGGTATTTTTTATTGGTAAATTTACAAACATATACAGTATAATGATAAATAGACTTGAAATTTGTATCTCATTATGGTGTATGGTGAAATAATTATAGCCAGTTATAATTGTAATGGCTTAGCTGATAATAACAAAAGAAGAACAATATTTACATGGCTCAAAGAGGAGGAATATAATATCTATTGTTTACAGGAAACTCATTCAACAATTCTAGATTAAGTTGCGTGGAAAAAGGAATGGGGGGGCGAAAGATACTTCTCCCATATATATATATATACGCCTAGCGAACAGTTTTTAAAATTATATGAGAAAAAAAGATTCCATTTTATTTGGAACGGCAAGCAAGACAAAATTAAACGGGCCTATTTATATAATGAATATGAATTCGGAGGACAGAAATTATTAAATACAAAGCATTAGACCTATCACTAAAAGTTTCAGTCATACAAAATGTAAACTTAAATCCGAACTGGTTCTCTAGCAAATTAGTAAGATTGTCTCACCCAATGTTCAAGAATGGCCTTTTTCCCTTTATTCAGATTACAACCTCACACTTTCAGTTATTTGAAAAGGAAATAATCTCCCAGATATCACTATTTCTAAAACAAGCCATAGAAAGTTGGTTGCAATTTCAATTGAATCCTCCAGAAACGACAGAACAAATAATGCAACAAATATTGTGGTTAAACTTAAATATACTAATTGACAAACTTTTTTCTTTTTTTTTTGGACAAAATGTTTAAAATAGGTATAATCTTTGTAAATGATATCATCGGTAGGACTGGTGGAGTTATGTCGCACATGCAGCTAACAAAAACATATGGAAATGTCTGCTCTACCCAAAATTACAACCAAATAATTGCAGCCTTACTGCAAAAATGGAAGAGGAAAGTGGAAGGAGGAGAAAGTAAGGAACTTGTCTGTCGGCCTTGCATTAAAGAACATAATTGGTTAAGGAAAACTGTGATAAATAAAAAAGTATATCAGTTTCATTTAAGGACCAAAGGATTGACAGCCGTCCCATATAGATTGCAAAATAGTTGGGAAGAGATTTTTGACGTACCGATCCCATGGCATAGTGTTTATAAACTGATACGCAAAACGACACCGGATTCAAAACTTTGAATCTTTCAATTTAAATTATTATATAAAATTCTTGCTACCAATAGAATGTTATTTATATGAGGGATACAATCTTCCCAGCTCTGCAGATTTTGCTGCGAAGAGACAGAATCATTAGATCATTTGTTTTGGTACTGTCCATTTGTAGCTTGTTTTTGGACACAGGTCCAGGAATGGCTAAAGGATTGCAATATTTACCTGGAGCTAACCCTGCAGATAGCACTACTGGGTGATCTGAAAAGTCATAGTCAATCGATCAATAACATAATAATACTATTAGCAAAAATGCTTGATTGTGGACTACAGGGAAAAAAAAGAGGACTGAGCACGCCCCCATTCTCATCGACGGAGCAGTAGTGGAACAGGTTGAGAGCTTCAAGTTCCTTGGTGTCCACATCACCAACGAACTATCATGGTCCAAACACACCAAGACAGTCGTGAAGAGGGCACGACAAAGCCTATTCCCCCTCAGGAGACTAAAAAGATTTGGCATGGGTCCTCAGATCCTCAAAAAATTCTACAGCTGCACCATCGAGAGCATCCTGACTGGTTGCATCACCGCCTGGTATGGCAACTGCTTGGCCTCTGACCGCAAGGCACTACAGAGGGTAGTGCGTACGGCCCAGTACATCACTGTGGCAAAGCTTCCTGCCATCCAGGACCTCTATACCAGGCGGTGTCAGAGGAAGGCCCTCAAAATTGTCAAAGACTCCAGCCACCCTAGTCATAGACTGTTCTCTCTGCTACCGCACGGCAAGCGGTACCGGAGTGCCAAGTCTAGGTCCAAAAGACTTCTCAACAGCTTCTACCCCCAAGCCATAAGACTCCTGAACAGCTAATCATGGCTACCCGGACTATTTGCACTGCCCCCCCACCACATCCTTTTTACGCTGCTGCTACTCTGTTAAGTATTTATGCATAGTCACTTTAACTCTACCCACATGTACATATTACCTCAACTACCTCAACTAGCCGGTGCCCCCGCACATTGACTCTGCAACGGTACCCCCCTGTATATATAGCCTCCCAAACTGTCACTTTATTTTACTTCTGCTCTTTTTTTCTCAACACTTTTTTTGTTGTTGTTTTATTCTTACTTTTTTTGTTTAAAATAAATGCACTGTTGGTTAAGGGCTGTAAGTAAGCATTTCACTGTAATGTCTGCACCTGTTGTATTCGGCGCATGTGACCAATAAAATTTGATTTGATTTGATTTGATATTTCAATTCACAATCTGTAGAAACAATGAGAATAGAAAGGTTCAGAACTTTTGTAAGACATCACAGTACAGTTGAAATATATATGGCAAATAGAAATCCTATATGGATGGTGTTAAAAGATAGATGGGAGGTATTGAATAGAGTTGAAGGATGGGACTAATAACAACTAACAACAAACAATAACAAGATAACTAATAATGTAGGCACGCTGTGTCCATAATAAATGTATGGGTTGTAGGTTGGGAGCTTTTGTGAAGGAGCACAGTTAGAAAGATATGGCATATAGAAGCAAACCGGATGGACATCATGAAAATGATCGGAGAGGTTGAGAGTAGAAGAAGTTCATGAGAAAGAACAAACAAAATGTAATTATTGTAAAATTGACTGTGTCCATTAAATGTAGATAGTGTGTATGGGCTGGAAGTAGAGGCCTAGGCGTTGTTGTTCACTAGTTTACTCCAAGTGGGGAAAGGGTGGCGGGGTTGGAAAGTAATAAAGGGGAATATATATATATATTTTTTAAAGGATATGTATGTGTATGTATGTATGTGGGTGTGTATGTGTGTATATGTATATGTATGTGTATATGTGTATGTACAGTGGGGAAAATAAGTATTTAGTCAGCCACCAATTGTGCAAGTTCTCCCACTTAAAAAGATGAGAGAGGCCTGTAATTTTCATCATAGGTACACGTCAACTATGACAGACAAATTGAGATTTTTTTTC